ACCATATGTATGCTTGTTTTTATACCTCTTTACACATTGCTTGCACTTTAGTATGAATTTTTGATGGTGATGGGGAAAGAGGCGTTTCTTCCTTGGGCATACTGCATTTCGATCCAGAAAGCATGTTTGTCACCAGATTTGTGATATTGGGAATTCTTAGTCAGCTGTTTTAAAATATTTTGTTTCATTGCTGCTGTCTTAAAGGCAAAAGTTCCAAGTGAGAATAATTATTTTAGCATTTCTTTTAGGAAAGATTTTTAATCACAAAAAATGACTATTCTCAGAAATAAGAATCCATTTACTATATATTTATTATCAATTGTTATCAAAGCGGACCTTATTGAATTGTACATTGATTTTTCATAAAGACTTCCTTCTGCCATACACTTTCTCTTATGATGTTTTCTACTCTGGTTGATATATGTTCAAAAATGATTCATCCAAATCGCTATGTGTTTTTTTTTTTAGTTGTCAGTTCTACATACACACTGGTTATTTACTAGTACACACTGAGCTCTAGTATATATCTTGGCTAATTTGTTCTCTTGGTAACTTTCCTTTTTCTATCTCTCGGGCTCCCTTTCTCCCTCCACATTTCAAAGTAAACCAGCCCATCTCAGTTTCCCGCCACTTGTCTGTCACTTTGTTGTTCTACGGTGGCTTGTGTGTTGCTGGAAGTTTTGCCACAGGTTTTATAGATATCATCAGGGTTACCGGGGGTGGGGGGGTCGGGGGGGGAGCGGGGAATAGGGTTCAGAGGAGCTGTCAGACGATCTTAAGAATAGATTTGATATATTTTACACTTATAGCTGAAAACCAAGTAAGTAGTGATCAATATCATCATGCCTGAAGAAACAAGAAGTCCTATATGACAAGGGAGAAATAAATCTATGTATATATATATGTTTATAGGTTTAGTATTAAGGAAGCAGATAGACATTGGGCCCCTAATCAAGTACTCCCTCAACACAAGAACACTTTGTTCTATTAAACTGGCATTCCATGATGCTCACCTTCCCAACACGATTGCTGAAGACGAATGGGTGCATAAACAAATGTGGTGAAGAAAGCTGATGGTGCCTGGGTACCAAAAGATATAGCATCTGGGGTCTTAAAGGCTTGAAGATAAACAAGTGGCCATCTAGCTGAGAAGCATCAAAGTCCACGTGGAAGAAGCACACCAGCCTGTGTGATCACAAGGTGTAGTATGGAGGGTGGAGGGCAGGTGTGGGAGAAAGAGGGAACAGATTACAAGGCTATCCATATAACCTCTTCCCTGGGGGAACGGACCACAGAAAAGTGGGTGAAGGGAGATGTCAGACAGTGTAAGAGATGACAAAATAATAATTTATAAATTATTAAGGGTTTATAAGGGAGGGGGGAATGAGGATGGAGGGGAATAAGTGAGCTGATACCGATGGCTCAAGTAGAAAGCAAATGTTTTGAGAATGATGAGGAAAACAAATGTACAAAAGTGCTTGACACAATGGATGTATGTGTGGATTGTGATAAGAGTTGTATGAGCCCCCAATGATATGAATTTTTAAAAAAAGACAGGAAAGAAAGAAAACACCAAAATGGATGTCAGAAGAGATTGAAACTTGCTTTGAACTTGCTAAAGCACCTGGAATAAATGGTAAAGTAAAAGAACTAGATAGAACATTCAAAGGGCTTCTCAAGAAGCAAAGTTAAACAGTATAATGAAATATTCAAAGACCATACTTAGCAAGAGTACAGTTGGCATTTCTCAAACTGTGAAAGGACTGAAGAAAAAAAATTAAGCTTCCAGATGCAATATTGAAGATTTCTATAGGCAAAATAGAATCACGTGCTTTGGACATGTTATCAAGAGATATCAAGTCCCTGAAAGGATACCATGCTTGGTAAAGTAGAAGATGAATAAAAACATAGTGGCTGCAACAATGGGCTCAACCATCACAGCATTTATCAAGATGACCCAGATCTGGGCTGTGTTTTGTTCTGTTGTGCCTAGAGTTGCTATGCGTCAGAACCAACTCAACATCACTGAAAAATAACAACAACAGTAATGGCAAAGCATTGATCACCTCTGGGAAATATTTTAAAAATCATGGAAGGACTGTACATGAGTCATGGTAGCAAAAACGATCAAAATTGAACCATTTCCAGAGATATAGCATGTGACCAGGAATTGACGGCATGGAGGAAGAAGTGTAAGTTGCAGTGAAAGCACTGGTGTAGGATTGGGACACAATGCAAACTGAGATGGTTCAGCAAACAAAGGCAGCATTACAGATGCTCGACTGTCTACATCACGACATTTGGAAGAACGTATTCTGAATGTCTTAAACCTGAAGGAAAAAAAATGTATCCTTGAATGACAATAAAGAATTCTATTGGCAAAAAAATTGAATGATACAGGAAAAATCAAAGATGAAAGAAATACATGGAATCACTGTACCAAAAAGAATTGGTAAACATGAAACCACTTCAAGAGTATATGATCAAGTATACTATTAAAAGAATAAGTTCAAGCTGTACAGAAGACATTAGTGAAAGACAAGGGCCCAGAAAGAGATGGAATGCCAAGGGGAAAGTTTCAAAACACAGTGCTGGAAGTACTCAATGGAAATTTAGAAGACAGACACCCAGTCAGCTGTTTGGAAGATAGCCATATTTGTGATCATTCCAAAGATACACGACCCAATAGATTGCTCAGATTATTAAATAGTATCATACACAGGTAAAATTTTGCTGAACATAAATTATTAATAAAAGGAAAACTGATTGAAGCAGCACATCTACAGGAAACTTCTAGCAATTCAAGCCTGATTCAGAACAGGATGTGAACTGTGTGATATCCTTGCTGCTGTTAGATGGATCTTAGGTGAAAGCAGAGAATACCAGCAAGATGTTTATTTGTATTTTACTGGCTGTGCAAAGACATTTGGCAGTGTGGATCATAACAACCATGGATAATATTACAAATAATAGGAATTTTAGAACCCTTCATTGAACTCATCTGGAATGTGGATGAAGCGGCAGCTGTTGGAACAGAACAAGGGGATGTTGTGTGATTACAATCAGAACAAGTGTCCATCAGTGTTGTATCCTCTCAGTATACTTATTTATTAGATATGCAGAATAAATAACCCAAGAGATGAAATGACATAAAGAAGTGGATTAGGAGAAGACTCTTTAACAACCTGTAATGTTCAGCTGGCACAACCTTGTCAAAATGACAGCCTTCCTGTCAAAATGACAGGAAGTACTTGGTTATGATGATGCGTGACTGTACTGTTCAGGATAGATCACCCCACAATTTAAACAAATCACAAATTCTCACAACGGGCCAAATAATGACATCATGGTAATCAGGGAAAAGTTCAAAATAGTCAAAGAATTTATTTTACTTGGATCTCTACTCAAAACTCAGAGAAACACCAACCAACCAAATGATCAATCAGACTGTGGAAATCTGCTTCAAAAGACCTCTTCAATCCGAGCCATATATAGGTGAACACTACACACTGAATAAGCCATATGGAAGAATAATTATGGTGTTAGCAAAGAATATTGCATATACTGCTGACTACTGACGGAGCTAACAAATCTGTTTTGGAAGTACAGTCTTATGATGGTACTTGAAAATTAGGATTTGAGACATCTTCTCATTTACTTTGTACATGTTATCATGAGGGACCAATCCCTGGAGAGCATCATCATGCTTGGTAAAATAGACAAGAAGAAGATCCTCAACAAGATGGACAGACACAATGGTTGCATCCATTGAGCAAGTAACGTAGCAACCACAGTGAGGGACCTAACAATGTTTCTCTGTGAACAGCTGGTGTCTAGGAGTTGGAACCACACTGTAGTGTCTTAACAATTATGAAAACAACAACACATCGAAAAGCATTTACAGAGCATTTGTTTTAAAGTTTCCTGTACTGTGTATATCTTAAAACTTTTTATTTTATGGGTAAATGCCACTCATGATAAAGTTATATAGACATCACGAGAACCATCATCTTTTGTGGAGTTTAATAGTGTTGTAGTGGTGTAATGTGCAAATTGGCCACTGAATAAGGAAGACCTAAGAAATATCGATGCATTTGGATTGTGCTGGCAAGAAATATTGAAAGTCCATAAACTACCAAAAGAACCAGGAGATCTGGCTTGGAAGAAGTACAGGCAGAATGCTCCTTAGAAACAAGGATGGCAAGACATCATCTCACATATTTCAGGCATGTTGTCACAAGATCCCAAGCCCCAACGAAGGATATCATATCTGGTAAAGTGGATGGGCACTGAAAGAAAGAGGAAGACCTGGACAAGAGGTATTTACACAGAGGTTGCAGCAATGGGCTCTAACATAAGACCACTTGGGAGCGTGACACAGGACCGGGCATTGTTGTTCTTTGTTGTACACAGGATCACTGTGAGTCAGAACCATCCCAACAGCACCTAAGAGCAACAACAGCAGTGGTTAAGAACCTCAGCTGCTAGCTCAGTGTGGGAAGTTTAAACTCCTCTGCCACTCTGGGGGACGTGATCACATGCTTCAGTAAAGATTTGCGGCCTTGGGAACACTAAGAGGTAGTTATATTCTGCCCTATGGGTTACTATGAGACATAATGGACTTCCTGGTGATGAGCTAGGGTGATGTTGTTTTTCAGTCAATAGCTTTCATTTTCTTATCTATTTATTTTAGGTTTAATCTTAAATCATATGTAAAGAAAAAATAGGGGCTGTTAGCCAACTGGACATAGTCCATACAATAATTCTGTGGCATGATGCATTAGACTTCGTATCTGGAGAACAAAGGCTGAATTTACTTTCTAATAAATTGGAAGGGATGACAGAGTAGTACTGAGGGTCAGGCGTGAGAAAGCAGTTATTCGACATGATTTCACTTCTCTGTGAACCTCGTTACCAAACGGGTCTCTTCCTTAGTTCCACAGCTGTCTTGTATGTTGTTTTCAAGTCTGCTGTAACCCATTCCCATTTGTTTTCCCCAGGTTTTGCTGGCACACCTGGATATCTTTCTCCAGAAGTTCTACGCAAAGATCCTTATGGAAAGCCAGTGGATATGTGGGCATGTGGTAAGGCGTCCTATTTCCCAGCTTGCTATACTTGAAAATATCTGCTTTTAAACTTAGAGTGAAGGACCCAAACACAGATCAAAAGTGCTTGGGGGCTTGTTGGAGCACACAGTGCTGCATCCTGGACTCCGTGGGGGACAAGTGGGAGCGTTTACATTTTTAACTAGTTCCCAGTTGGTGCTCAGGCATTATCCCTTAGGGTAGAACATACGTTATTCTCCTACCATCTCACCTGATCTGACCAGCTCTTAGAATAAACAGCATGTCTGTCCAAAATGCCTGGCAGGGATGAGAGTAAAGTAGTGGATCTTGGAAAAGAATAAAACGATTGCCCTGTGGGGACTAGACACTGGTATAGCCTTTGGCAACTGTGTTGTAAGGATTGACATGAATCTTTTTTCCCAAAATGTGTCATTGAACCAGTCCTCACGTTTTCATCTCCCTTCCCTCACTGCCAATGGCCCCACGGCGCTCGCTCTCTCTGACCCTGGCCTTCCAGAGCTGGGTCAGACGTTCAAAGGATGAGAGAGAATGTCCTTGTTCATAGAAGATACAGCAGAAATCTTTTTTTGATGTGAATTAGTTGATGGAAAGTGTTTAGTTTATGGAACAAAATAAGGACACTCTTCTTCAGATTTTCAAAGGGAGAGACATCAGCCACAAGTTTGGGGAGCCTCACCACACCCCAACTTTTGGATCTGCTGGCTACAAATTTGGTGCTGCCCCTTCACTGGGCCTAGGTTTTCATTGTGTACTTATGTAGGGGGTCAGGGCCATCTTTCTCTCCGTCACCCCTCCTTCCCCCTTTCCTTACTCCTCCTTCCTTTTCTTTTTCTTCTTCCTCCCTCCTTCCCATCTCTGTTAGAGGTAAGAGGGGTAGCTGCATTGGGTAAGGAAACCTGCTCACTGACTCTGTGGCCTCAGTCGCTCTGTTATCAGATTCCTCTTATAACATGGAGGTATTCCAGTACTTATCACGCTGAGGATGTTTCAGTACAGTACTTTTTAGGGACTAATACTATTATTATCTCTCTATAAATAGTGTGTCTAGACAACTGACATAGATCCTTATGATAAATTGAACGAAACAAAGAAAGATAAAACGTTCATGGAAAACAGCAATGTGATGGTGACCATTAAGTAATCTAGTTCCTTGAACAGTGAACGCTCCATCTACTTCCGCTGTTCAATATTAAACTGTTCATTTGGTGTTGTTGTGAAAGATTTTTATTGGGATAAATTTCACATCTCCTGAATCATATTTTCTTTATTCAAAATGTTAAATAATATTTTTATTTATTTGGGTATTTGTATTAGAAATAGTCTTTTTTTCTTCTTCTTCAGTGTGAAAGTGTTAACTGTGTGGGAGAATATCAGATCCTTTCCAAAGAGCCCTCCTCACCCCTCAAAAATGATTGTTTATCCTAGAGATTGTTTATCCTAGAGATGCAGCAAAATCACTCATGAATGTTATATATATACTCCTTACATGGGCCCTCTCTATAGTAGAGGATCTGAGGTAGGTGCAGGATGCTCCAGGTTTTTTTAGTAACCTCAGATATGTCTAGCATCAGAGTTTTGACTCTTTCTAATACTCACCAAACCCATGTGCTCAATTTTAATATTTTCAAAGACACATCTTAATATATTTGGCTTGAGGACTTTCTGTTTTAAGTAGGTTTCCATAACATAGCTGATATAGCTAACCATTTTGGAGAAAGACTTGCTCATAGAAATATGACCTCACTTCTGTAAAATAAGAGTTCACTTATAGGGTAGATGTTCTAACCTTAATGGCTTGAGGAGAGAAGGGTAGGTGGAGAGTTTGTTTCCTTGTTGTTTTCTGAGCTTTATAACTTTCATTAAAAATAGATAGTAGGGGTACAGGAATATTTGCATGCATTGTAAATACATTTTATGGACAAATGCATACACGTATTTCAGGAAGGAGTCTTTGGAAATGAAACCTATTTTAAAATAGCATCACACAGATTGCAACCTCGATTTTGCCACTAGCAGAGCCATGCTTTGCTTTGCTCAGTCTGTCCTGACCTTTGCTTCCATCAGGCATGCTCTGTAAAGAGGCAGAATCCTATGTGACAAGCCATGTCGGATTTTGAGGATGTATTTGTGACCATCTCTCATTGTCTGTACAAACATAGTATATCTTTTAATGGCCTGCCTAGAAAGACACCTGGGACAACACAGCTAGCTACGGCAATGACTTAGGTGTTCTCATATCATATATTTGGGGAAAATGGGCACTATAAGATATTTCATAATCTACTGTTCTACCTCTTGTTAATAGCTGTTGATTTGGAGTATTGTCTTACCATTTAATATTATGACATCACCCCATCCAGGTAGTGCTTGACAGTTATATTAGATAAATTTTCATTTTATTTACAAATGGTGCACCCATGTTCTTCACCATTTTAATAGTCACCAAAGTGTGTGCATATTATTTGGCTGCTTTAGATTATGGAATATCTATGGAAACTTTTTCAAAGTTCATTGGCACTAGTTCTTGCCAGTTGAACAGTTTCTTTTTGGTTTGGTTTGTTTTTTCCAAGGTTAGACACTGGATAGTAGTGTCATAAGGAACGACAGCACACAAATAGCAAAAGCCAGTTAGTAGAATAACAGTAATAATGATTCTATCTGAATTAAGCTGTGAGCCCTCCAAAGAGCAGATTCACTGTCTTTTTGGTACTTGGCAACAGAAAAGTAAAGTACCGCATTGATATAATGGCTAAAATAATTCTGTGCATTATTATTCTTTAGACCTATGCAATTATCTGCACACAGAAACTCTCTGATCTTGTCATTATTATTTTGCTTTTGTGATCTAGCTCAGAATACTCCAGCTTTCAAAGCGGCTAATCCATTACTGCAAAGTGCGTAATCAACACCAGTGAAGCAAGAGGGTAACCCCTTATTCCTTCTTTAACAATAGTAAATTGACTTGCTGGGTTTCCTGAAAATACAATCATTTTTACAATTCCCTAATGGGATGAATAAATGCTATTTATAGATATTACTGCATAGCTGGTTTTTAAGAAAATTATTTCCATAACTTAGTTTTAAAAAATAAATAGAGTCTATAAACATACCCAAAACACATATTTACACCGACCTCATCTCACTATTTCTTTACCTGAATTGGATATAACTTAGATTGTTTATGAGCCATAGTCCATTAATAGCTGTCAAATAATTCTGCAATTTGTTTCTTCACCTCTTGTATGATTAATGTAGTTACACAGCTGTGTGATTCCTGAGCCTTGTCCTTTTCCTATACTTCAGAATCAGGTACTTTACCAGAGAAAAACATTTTAAAATCTCAAGCTTACTAGATAATTAAATGATATTGCCAACTCAGGGATTACTTTACACTTGGCCTGTTGGTCTACCTCACAATTGGAATGCTCTACCTTCCAGTTTATGACCCACGTTCTCATCAATGTCCAACCCTTGAATCCTTATCCCTAATCATGGTCTGTGGCAACAACTTCTTACATTGAACTCAGATGCTGTTTAAATCTCTCTAGTTATTGTACATATGGTTTCCCTAACTTATTTTCCACATTGTAGACCGCAGATCACATGCTTCAGAGTGTAAAATGCACTTTTTTTTAAACCCACTTTAGAATCATCTCTAGGATGAAACGTGGGAATTTTAAGTTCAACAAACTGGCTTTGGGTTGACATCCAGGTTGAGAAGAACTGTCCTACCTAGGTGATAAAGCCCTTTTATAGCAGTAACTCAATGCAGGTGTACATTTGGAGAGTTAATGAGTTATAGACTGTATGACAAAAGTAAAAAAAAATGAGTGATACACAGATTTTTGGGGGTTTCTGGTGTTGTTGTTTATTATGTATTTCAATAATTCATCAGGATATTTCTTTTGAAAGCCTCCATTTATGACTTCACTGGTGAGGTTGAAAGACAAGACAATGTAATAGTTTTATTCTCTTTGGGCAACTGTACTTGTCAAGCAGTTGGGAGGCATGCTGTCCCCTTTGACAATGCAAAGACATCCAGCCTTACCGCGGGCACAATTCAGTCACAAACAGGCCAGGGCCTCACAGGCCTGTTATTTTTGGATGATCTGCCTCCTCAAAGTGGTGTGAGCCTTAATGAGAAGGATGGAATAAATCCATAAATCCTTTGGGATCTACATTTGTTAATAGGGCATCACTCAAAATGAGAAGAAACACTGACAAAGACCCATTGATAATCTAAACATAGAATGTATGATCCATGGATCTTAGAAAATTGGAAGTCATCAGAAAAGAAACAGAACACGTAAAGACTGATATCCTAGGGATAAGTGAGCTAAAACGGACTGGTGTTGACGATTTTCAATTGAGGAACAATGGTGCTGCATGTCTCATCAAGAAGAACTTGTCAGGCCCGTCTTGAACTCTGACGTCTGATAGGATGATAACTACAAAGAAGATGAGTTAAAATAAATATTATTCAAAATCTATCCATTGTCCACAAAGCTAGTGGTGAACTTGAAGACTCACTAATTTCTTCACCATGAAACTGATCAAGCATGCGATCAAAATACATTGATAATTATTGTCAATTGGAAGGTTGAATTTGGAAACAAAGAGAAGGATCAATACGTGATACAAATGGCATCAGAGATCACACAGTAGAATTTTTCAAGACTGACAAGCTCTTCATTGCAAATGCCCCCTTTCAACAATATAAGTGGCAACTATACACATAGACTTTGCCAGGTCAAAAACACAGGAACCAAGCTGACTACTTCAGTGGGAAGAGACAATGACAATGCTCAGTAGCATTAGCCAAAGCAAGACCACAGGCTGCGTGTGAAGCACACTATAAATTGTTCATATGCAAGTTCATGTTGAAGTTGATGAAAACTAAAGGAAGCCCACAAGAACCAAAATATGACCTTGAAGATACCTTGTCTGAATTTTGAGCCCATTGCCAAAACAGATTTGAATGTCAGAACACTAATGAT